TGCTAGGGACTTTGTCCCTTGGGCCTTATCTAATATCCTCATGATACCAAACACTATTTCTTGGTGTTTTAGAGTGTTTGAGTGTCCTAATGATGGACTTCTTTGACAATAAATATTCCTTTCACAATATTGATTTATTATATTGCAACATAAACAATTTATCCCTCATAAGGGTATCTCTAACTTCTTTATCCCAATAAGAAGTCCTAGGTAATTATCTTTTACCAATTCAATCAATTACTTTGCACCTTTTGTTTAGTTGCTTTATAATTGTCAAATCTTACAACTCATTGTTGGTGCTTCCACACCTCCATTATTATTTGGATCACCACACTCTAACTGCATGCCTTCCAACTTAGGCTATGCTATTTCCATTTCCATTAGGATTCCTTTGGGAAGGGGTTCTCATGAACTTGCCAACTTGACCTCAAGGCATCACACCTTGGCACATTCGGTGTCTTCATACCATCGGCTCCACAAGCCTATCTTTATAACACTTTTTACTTGTGTTTAGGTCTTTGCCAAGACTAATACAGTTGTTTCTCATGTTAACTATTCATTAGCACTACACTATAATGTTTACATACAACTTTGTGTCAAAGTTGCTTTTTTCTGAGAACACCTTTTCCACAACTTTAGTATAGTATATTTTGCTATCAATGAGATACCCACTGTTCTCATATTTGAATTTTATAATCCTCCCCATCCATCGTGAGGCACAACATACCTCAGTCCAAATGTTTTTATTAATCTCTTAGGACCATTCCTTGACTCCACTTGAGTCATCTAGCATCTTTGGACTTTGCTAATCAAATGACCCATAAAGTCCTACGTTTGAGATGCCAGCTCGCTAGAATACAACTTCTTGTATTCATGTCTTACTCATAAGAACCATCTTTGCAAGTGTTATTTCAACATTTGATTATTTTTTGTTCCCTGTGGGCTACCTTTACCCCTTAGGACTATTTGTCCCTATAATGAGAATACTAATTCATCCTCTAAGTACACCCCCAACTCCTTGGGTTTCTTCCAGCATTTATAAACAGTAACCCCAGCTACCATTTCAAGGATTTGTGTCCTTATCTGTATTTAACTTGTCACAGTCATTAATTCCGGTCTCAAATTCATAAGCACCATCCTCAATTATATAAAGATAATCTTGTGACTCCTTTATTGTTTTGGAGTCTTTATCTTTCCTGTGATCCCAATTATAGTTGTTTACTACAACTACATTAGCTAGTTTTCTTAGTCAAACGCTCATTTGGATCACATTTTTAACTCTCGAAGGAAAACTTTATATTGTTCCTAAGATCCCAAAGTCATTTTATTATTAACCCTTTTCTATCCACCACCTTGCCTATAAGTTCACACATGAACTACAGTGTCTTCCCAACCTACTACTCTTCAAGGATAGGCCCATTTCTAGGACTTTCTGATGCCAACATTAGTAGTGATATATTTGAGCACCAATAAAAGTCAAACTAAGGAACAGTTCTAATACCAAATTGTAGGTGATCAATTTTTCCATTCTACTTTAATCACTTAACCACACCATTAACCACTTGGAGGAGTTTCATTCACAACCTCCATAAGTCCAATTCAAGACTTGGGGTTTGCTAGCTTTGAGAATGGCATCTATGCCACTCAACCTTTACACTTCGTCCAAGTGCTCCATGTGTCTCGTCCCATGACTGACACCCAAAGGTATCACCGATATATTAGCTTGTTACACTAAGGCCATGTTTATTCACCTTTGTCACACCGGTGATCCAACACCACCTACATCACAATCCTATCTCTCAAAGACTGGGTCATCTGTCTATGAGTGGTCATCCCATATCCACTCCTTAGCATCCTTAGGATGCCTATAAACATGGGAAATAGCCTTCTACAATATTCTTTTTCGGTCCCCACCAAGTCCCTTTTTATCCATGGCCATGTTCACCAACACTACCACTGGATCAAGGCCTATAGGCCTGACCACTAAGTCCTCTTGTTCCCTGGGATTTCCTTATCATGTGACTACATCCTTGATCACTACACTAGAAGATTGCTCCTTTTTCTTTCCACCATCCAGGACTTTGGGACAACATTTCGAAACACCGTGGCCTTATGTGAGCCTTATGGGTACTCTCCCCGCCTTTTGCCTTTGGGTGCTTTAGCCATGGGCTTAGAGTGAGGTTCTGTTGAGCCATGCCAGGTATCTAAGTAGGTAGTGCCACCCATGCTTGGACTGGGAGCATTGACCATTCGATCTCTAGGGGGAACTAAAGCCGACTCTTGAACACTTCACCAAGCTACCTCACTTGTCAGTCCACATTCGCTCTAGCCTTGGACTTCCCAGTGGTTATCTTATCACCCAACACCTAAGTACAACCTTCTTAGGCCACACTGGCCTTTCCTGGCCAAATTGGCTCCATTGGGGTCCAACCCTTACACTCTCCCTACTATATTTTTAAAACTGCCTGCAGCCCGCTGCCGCCGCCTAGGGGACAATCACTTTAGGCTTTCACCCAACAACTTGTATTAGTATTCGGAATCGGACTTGGTCTTAGTCTCGGTTTTAGACTCGAACTCAGTCTTGGTCTCGGTCTTGGTTCCATCTTGGACTCCATCTTGGGTCCATCTCAAACTCCATCTCGGGTCCATCTCAGGTCCATCTCGGACTCCACCTCAAGTCCATCTTAGACTCCATCTCAGGTCCATCTCGAGTCCATCTCGGATTCCATTTTGGATTCCATCTCGGACTTCATCTAGGCTCCATCTCGGGTTCATCTCGGACTCCATCTCAGGTCCATCTCAGACTCTTCGACGTGTCATGTTTTGGTCCTCTTGTGTCCTTTTTTCTTGTGTCCCCTTTTCTAGAGACTCCCTTGTTTCTCACTTCAAGCTCGGTCCTCGAGCACCTCATTGAGGTTTCACTCCTGCTCTTGACTTTTTCAAGTTGGAGTATTTTATTCCAAATGTGTTACATTTGTTTGACTTCCACCTCAGCCACTACCACATGGCACCCTTTTGACTCCACTTTGGGGTTAGGGATATGTGTCTCATAATATGTCGGAATGGATCAAGTTGGGAATGTTATGGCTAGTACTTTATTAAGATTTTGTAGGATTTATGCATGCACTTACTTCAGCCACCCTTGACAATGCTGTTAGCTTGGAATAACATTATGAAATGTTGCCTCTTCTACTTCTCGCTGCCCGTCCTTCAACCCCACTTCTTGTGGGAAATAATCTTGTTCTAATGGAGGTTGATACTACTGCTGCCCAAACTCAAGGACAAAGGTGAGGACATGGTCGTGGCCATGATATCTGTTGTTAGGCATGTGATGAAGTTAGTCACACTTATTAATATTATTTGTGTTTTTTAGAGTGGCAACCTCCATTTATTGGATGGAGACCTTAGCATCTGTAAGGAACCAACTTGCCGAGGTGTCGTAAGCTAAAGGAACCCCGAAAGCATGACCAAAATGACAAAGAGTTCATCGGATGGGACCAAGTCGAAGATCGAGTCCAAGACCGATTCGGAGACCGAGTTTGAGATAGAGTCCGAAATCGAGTCCGAGGCCAACTCGGGGACCGAGTTCGAGACCGAGTTCAAGACGGAGTCCGAGATCCGAAATTGGGTCTGAGACCGAGTCCGAGGTCGGGTCCGAGATCGGGTCTGAGATCGGCTCCGAAATCGAGTCCAAGACCGAATCCGAAGTCGGATCCAAAATCGAGTCTGAGATCGAGCCAGAGACTAAGTCCAAATACTAATATGGGTCAAGGGGTGAAAGCCCAAAGCGTGTGTCTCCCGGGGGGGGGGGGTTGCAAGGGGTTCCAAAAGTATAGTAAGGATAGTGAGGTCCAGGAACCAGTTTTGAAGGGACTCTCCAATGGGGCTTCCAAACCGACTTGAGGTTGAGATTGGGACCCAAGGGCCCTGGGTGGGAATGAGTATGGACTTGGTTGGTGCTGGAGGGGCCATCCAAGGAAGTGCTCAAGAGTAGCTCCCACTCCCGAAAGGGAAACCGATTGCAGTGCTCCCGGCTCATGTGGAGTGGTGCCCCACTTGAGTACCATGCGGCTCATTGGTCCTCGCCCTTCCTAGGGGCTTGGGCCTTCCTTCGGGATGGAAGTGGGGGGGTAGAGGTACCCATACCGAGCCACTAGGCTACGGTGTTTCGGCCCGGCGTCCCGAAGCAAGTATTGCACTCAAGACTTGGGATTTAGAGGGTCCC